CATGTCCTTATCTATAGTACTTGCTCAAAAATGGGATTTTTTTTTTTTTTTAATAACCTCTGGTAGCATAGTCATTACGAATCGGGTTGCGAACCGCAACATCAGCAGTTCGAAACTACCAGCTGCTCCGCGGGAGAAAGATGAGGCTTTCTGCTCCCGTAAAGATTTACAGCCTCAGAAACCCTGTTCAGGGTCACTATGGGTCGGAACCGACTTGATGGCACTTAACAACACTAATGTGGAAGAGGATAAAAATGCAAAATAAAAGATATAACAATAACAGTCCCTGCTATCAAGGAGCTTCCAGTTATTGTGGAAATAAGATGCAGGTCCTGGTGTGGTGCTGTGGGTTAATGCGACAGACTGCAAAGCCATTTGAACTGCAAGGTCGGTAGTTCAAGCTCACCAGCTGCTCCTCAGAAACCTTATTCAGGGTCTCTATGGGTCGGAACCAACTCGATGGCACTTAACAACAATAACAACATACGATAGGCGATGTTCTAGTAGTTTTAACATATGATCTTCAGTAATGTTAGTTTCAAACATCACTAGATTCTCTTGCTATGGATTTTTATATAGGACATGTGATTTATATAGGACACATGATGTAGGGCCAAATAAGGGGGATGGAATCGAAGGTGGATTAAAATATAAGTTTAGAGAAGGTTCATAAAATTAGGTGGTGATGGTGGATATGTGCCACTGACTCGGTTCTGACTCATAGCACACCTGTATAGGGTTTCCCAGGCTGTGAATCTTTACAAGAGCAGAAAGCCTCATGTTTCTCCTGTGGGCTCCTTATAAAAGTAGGAGTGGAGGTAATAAACATATATACTACGTACATTACAGGTATTTGCTATTGTTCACAAAATAAAAGCATGAATGAATTGGTGCAATTCTGTCAATAGTGTTATATAGTGGTGAAATAGGAGTTCTGGTGTGGCACTGTAGGATAATCCCTGGACTGCTAACCTCAAGGTTGGTGGTTCAAACCCACCAGCTGCGCCTTGGAATCCTTATTGTTGTTTCTGTTGCTAAGTGTCATTGAGTCAGTTCCAACTCATAGTTAATCTGTATAGGGCTTCCAAGGAGCAATTGGCAGGTTTGAACCACCAAGCTTGCTGTAGTCCAATGTGTACAGCACCACACCAGGACTCCTTGGAAACCCTATACAGGGTCGCTATGAGTCAACACCTACTCAACAGAACTTAACAACAACAACAGTGGTAAAATATTATAGGTTTGGGTTCAGCAGTTATGTGTCTTAAGTCCCAATTAAAATAGTTTCAAGCTGTGTGATCTCAAGCAATTGGCTTAACATCTTTAAGCTTCAGTTTCTTCATCTGTAACATTAGGTGGACCAAACTCACAAAGATTTGGTTGAGTATTAATAGCAATAATCTCTTAGAACAGTATCAAAAACAGTAGACACCTAATAAATATCAAAGATTGATAATAATAGTGATTGTGAGTGGGAGGTGGAAGGAGTTGGTAACAGAACAGGAGAAAATATACATAATATGTGCTCTATTGGCAGTAATATCCTTTAATGGAGACACCTGATTAAAATTACAGAAGTACAATTAGGGTACAATTGCAGTTACATTTAGAAGCAGAGCATAAAATTGAAGGAACCTTGGAAACGTTATGAGTCAGAACCAACTCGACAGCACTTAACAACAATAATAGTAAACCACAAAAAATATTCCCCATATCCTATGTCATAGGCGCTTCTGTTTTCTCTGAAAAGATGAAATTTTTGGACTGTGTTGACTTCGTTCTGTCACCATCATCCTCCCATTTAAGTATTACCCTTCTGTTAACTATGAGCAACCCAGGAGTATTGTAGCACAGAGCATACCACCTTTCATGTTTTCAATCTGAATAATGGCATGCTTTCTGGATCCCTTTACAACTTTTCTTCTGTTTTCTCCATCTCATTTTCCTTCTTCCAGAGAACTTAATTAGCTTGTTGTTTACCATTCCCACTAACAAGAAAGGAAGTCAATGTGGGGTCAACATCAATCCAGATGCAACCCTCCCTCACTGACCTCAAGTGAAGTTTCTTACTGCCCTTAGCATCACTGATTGTTCTGCAGAGAGTAGAAGCCTTTCTCCTTCTGTTTGTTTTTTAAAATGAAATTAGGCATTTAAAGGCCATTAACATGCCAACACAGAATAGAGATTGGGGGATAAAACTGTATTGTTTTTGTTATTAAGTGCTGTCGGAGTCTATGTTGACTCAGTGATCCTGTATACGATTTCCAAGGAGCAGCTAGTTGGTTTGAAATGTCAACCTTGTGGTTTGAAGTGCAGTGCTGATCCAACAGCTCCTTTAGTCTGTATTATAGGTAGGTATAAAGAAGCAACTCACAGCACTATCCATGGGTTGTTTTTTTTTTTAATTAAAAGCCTCTATTAAACATGGATTTAATAAACCTCCACGCCTTAAGAGTTTAAATACTTAAAAACAAACAAACAAAAGCACTATTGTTGTTGCCATAGGTATTTTTAAGTTCTCAGGTAAAGATAATAATAAAGATTAGAAGGGACTATAGAGAGAGCTGAACTTGGTAAAAGTGTTATGAATTAAAACATTTTTAGAACAGTCACACTATTTCAGTAGTAAACAAAGTCCAGTGCTTAATGGTGGTGGTAGTTGTGTGCTGTGGAGTCAGTTCCAACTCATAGTGAGACTGTATAGAGTTTCTGAGGCTTTAAATCTTTATGGGAGCAGAAAGCTTCATCTTTCTTCTGCAGAATGGCTGGTAGTTTGGAACTGCTGACCTTGAGGTTAGCAACCCAATTCGTAACCACTACACTACCAGAGCTCCTTAGTGCTTAATAGTCCTGTAATTATTCTTTTGGATTTCTAAAATTCTTGAGCAACAAAAAAATGAGATGAAGAAGATATCTGAGATCTGACTCTTTACTAATGCCAACCATTCTGCAGGACTCCCCAGCCCATGGCTACTGTTTCTCTAATCCAGGCTTTACCTCCTGGATAAATTAGGAACATTCCGACAGACAGATCCTGCTGATAGCCCTATGTAGCACACTGATGGCTTGTACAGAAGAGGGGGGTTTATTGTATTGAAAGTCTGGGCTTCGGAATTAGACAAACCTAGATATGAATCCAAGTACTCCTACTTTCTTTCTATGGAATTGAACAACTTAGGTTCTTTGAGTCTTTGTTTTCCAACCTGTCAAATGGGGGTGTAATAATGCCTGTCAAATGGGAAGATAAGGATAAATGAGGCAGTGTGTGGTAAGTGCCTGCCAGAGCATTCACTAACTGACATTTCATTCTTATTGTTGTATTTACTATTAAAGAGGTTTCTCTCTCTCTCTCTCTCTCTCTCTCTCTCTCTCTCTCTCTCTCTCTCTCTCTGTGTGTGTGTGTGTGTGTGTATGAATGAACAAATGTGTGAATGTACACAAGGAAAGATGGATGCATGGATGAATGGATAAATATACGGATAGATAAAGAGAGCAAGAGATAAACAGGAAAGCAAGAAAGGCAAACAGGTAGGCTCCGGGATCCCAAAACTACATATGGAATACTCGATCACCATATAACTTTAGGTTAGTCCTATGTTAGGTCAAAGCAATTCATCAACTTCTGCAAGGCAAATGCACACACAAAAAAGAATTCCATTTGGTCAAAATGTCTATATAGAAGTCAACTGAACCATTAGTATCCTCTTCCTTTTCTCTCCTCTCTATCCCCACACAAGCACCATCAAACCCCTCTGGGTCAGGCCTAGCCTCTAAAGTAGATGACCAAGGATTCAATACAAAAGAGTAGAAGAAATAGAAGGAAGTCTACTTGTGACATAGTTACCTTAGACCATAATTGAGCAACCACAGTTGATAAATATTTTTGCAAATTTTGGTAACTACATTTAAAAATAAAGTAATAGCAACAACAAAAGAACACTGTATTATTGATTACCATATTTAAAAATATTTTCCTGATCATCTTCCCAAATGTCTTGCCCTGGTTTTTGTTTCCTTCCCATTTCTTCCACAGCAGTTCTCACTTCTCTGATCCCCATTGCATCTTCTGGTGCTGAAAAAATGGCTGAGGTTTTGCCCCCTTGGATCTCTTTCCTTCTTGTTATTATCATGTGCTGTTTATCCTTCCTCAGCTTCTCTTCACTCTTCTTCAATTCTTCTCTTTTCTCAGCATTTTCTTTCTTAGTTTTTGATGAAGTTTTTTTGTCAAGCCCCATTGCAATAATGCATCTATGAAAGATGTTAACATATAATACTCATTAACCTTTTAATATAGCACTGTGGAATCACAAAGCTTTCAAAATCACTTATCTCTAACTCAGTATAAAATGCTATGAGAAATTGTTTTATTATGGTATGCATAGGTTAATTAAAAATAGTCTATTTTTTATTGATACTAAAATCTTGTAAGTGAGCACAACAAAATCTTAATATTCGTACCCACAATAATAAATAAGAAAACAATTCAACAACTGAGAACTATAACCTTAAACTAAAATTCCTATTTTAAAGTTTATTTGTGACCTTATGTTAGAGACCTATATACACATAATTCAAGTCCTTAAATGAACATTATATGAAAAAGGAACATTTAGGTTTATAAACACAGGCAAGAGGAGATTAAAAACAATCAGAAGAAGAAATGCCAGTCAATCTTTGATAATGTATTATTCTAAGAATATAACAATAGTTTTAAAAAAACAAACAAAACACTTACATACAAGGTTGACTTGAAATGAATAAGATTGATTTTTTTAAGAAACATATACAGCCAAATGTTGTGCCCTTTAAGTAAAAGATACCTCAGGAGCCTGCACACTTATTTTAATAGAACTGCCATTACTGCTTTTAGAATGGCCTTTCAAAGCCTGTACATTCTTTTGATGGTTTTTGATGGTAATAAACTTTTGTTCTTTGAACATGGCAATGATTTTTAGAGGTCTGAGAGAGACATTCACAGTCAAATCTGGTTAACCAACTCGATGAGCTGAGGAATGTATTATATCATTTTAGGAGAAATACATTAAAATCAGTTATGATACAAATACATGTAGATAGAGTTCCTCTATAGCTTTTTCCTATATCTGAAGTTACTATCAAAATAAAAATTCCAATAATGATAATTACCACAGTAATAAAAATTATGATTATGATAGAACCCTAGTATTATAGTAGATTAAGCATTGGGCTGCTAACCAAAAGACTGGTGGTTGGAACCCACCAGAAGTCTGTCTTTACCTGTAAGATAATACATATAAAACCAAAGCCAAACCCACTACTGAGTATATTGACTCATAGTGACCCCCTATAGGTTTCCAATCTTTACCGGAGCAGTCTCATGTTTCTTCCATGGAGTGGCTGTAGAGTTTGAGCCACCCTGCCATTGCAGTTAGCAGTCAAATGCTTACCCATCCCACAGTGCCACCAGGGCACCTTAAGATGTATAAAGCACTTAGCAAAAATCTTAGTACAGAGTTGTTGTGCTTAAGTGCCTTCGAGTTGGTTGATTCATGGCGACCCTGTGTTGGAATTCTGAGGATCAGCTGGTGAATTTGAACCACCGATCTTGAGGTTGAAACTGACCTTTTGGTCCAGTGAATCATCCTACAGTGCCACACCAGGACTCCTGATACAAAGTAAGTGGTCAATTATCATAGTATCATAATCATTACCGCTATCACTCACTCAGTCAGGCTCCTGGTGTGGCACTGTGGGTTCATGTGCTGAAATGAAAATACAGTTGAAACCACAAGGTTGGCAGTTCAAGCTCACCAGTTGCTCCTCGGAAACCCTATACAGGGTTGCTCTAGGTCAGAACTGACTCAATGGCACTTAACGACAACAACAATCACTCACTCACTGCCATCAATTAGATTCTGCCTCATAGACACAATAGGATAGAGTAGAATTGTTCATAGGAGCTCTAAGTCTGTAAATATATATGGGAGCAGACAGCTTCATCTTTCTATCTGAAGTATCTGGTGGCTTTGAACTGCTGACCTTGTGTCTATCTGCAGCACTTAACCCACTATGCCACAGGTCTCTTTTTTACCCCATAAAATAAAAAACAAACCCATTGCTGGTGAGTCAAATCCAACACAAAACAACCCTGTATAAAATTTTCGATGGTACATCTTCATGAGTACAGAAAGTCTCATCTTTGTCTCATGGAGTAGCTGGTGGATTTGAGCAGTTAGTTAGCAGTCCAGTGTTTATCATACAGTGCTGCCAGGGCCCTTTATTACTCCATACCCCAATGAATTAAGACTTGTCATTACCATTTCACAAATGAGAAAACTGGGACTTAGCGGTTCCATAACTTGTCTGAAGTCCCTACTCAGCAGATTCATGATGGAGCCAAAATTCCAGCTCGAGGTTATCAGACTCCACAATTGCACACACAATTAATGCACTTAAAACTGTACCAGATACATAAAATCAGTGGCTGTAAAGTCTAACTCATGGTTAGTCATGTGTGTCAGAGTAGAATTTTCAATGACTGATTTTTGAGGTGTAGAAAATCCAGAGAGGTGCATTATTGCATTGTTACTGTTAAGTGTTGTCAAGGCAGTTCTAACTCATTGAGACCCTGTATGGAGTTTCTGAGGAGCAGCTGGTGGGCTTGAACAGCTGACCTTTTGGTTAGCAGTCCACTGCTTATCATACTACACCACACAAGAGCTTGATAAAAAAAATTTTTTTTAATTAAAATTTGGAAAGGCCAGAACTTTCTTCCAAGGCACTTCTAGTTGAACTTGAACCTCCAGTCTTTGCTTAGCAGCCAAATGTGTTAATTACCTGTACCATCCAAACACTCCTCACACTGAATCATATTCATATTACTGTATTACAGGACTAGTCCTTAAGATGACTACCACCAGAGAAAGTACTCACACTTTCTCTTTCATCAGAAGGGACCACAATCTAAAATTTGTTGTTCTTGTTAGGTGTCATCAAGTCTATACCAACGCATAGCAATCCTATGCACAACAGAGCAAAATATTGTCTGGTCACAATCGTTGCTACACTTGAGCCCATCGCTTCTGCCACTGAGCCAATTCATCTCCTCAGGGGTCTTTCTCTTTTTCTCCAACCCTCCACTTTACCCAACATGATGTCCTTCTCCAGTGACTGGTCCCTCCTGATAATATGTTTGAAATTTGAGAGACAAAGTTTGGCCTTCCTGGCTTCCGAGGAACACTCTGGCTGTACTTTTTTCCAACACAGATCTGTTTGTACTTTTGGCAGTTTCCACTAAACAAAAGTCCACAGATAATTCATGACTTGAAAAGGGTATTTAATAGTTATCTGTCTCCACACTACTTTTTCTGGTATTCCACATATCCCCAACTATCGGGAAACAGAAGTAATTATAGTTGTTATTGTTATTAAGTGTAATCCAGTCAGTTCCAACTCATAGCGACCCTGTATAGGGTTTCTGATAAGCGGCTGGTGGGTTTGAACTGCCGACCTGGCAGTTCAAAATGCCCCTGCGGTCCAGTGCATTATCCTGCAGCACCACACCAGAACTGCACAATCACAACTGGAAATAACTATCAGGTGGGTAAAAAGGCACCAGAATGCAGTCAAAATGTGCTAAAGTAAGAGGGATAGGAATTATATTAAGAATCTGAAAATTACCTAAACATGAACATAATTCAATGGCAATTTTTTAACCTCAAGAAATTTTAGCCATACCACTCTAGAAATAGCAGAGCAATAGCTTTTAAATAATTCTCACAACATGCAAATTTGAGAACTTACTTAAATCACTTTTCTTTTAAATATCTCCTAATAAAAAAAAGCTAGAAGGATTTTCACTCAACTATTAGGATTTAAAAATGAGATTATAAGGACACCTCATCCCATGTTAACCATGATAAATATTTGACTGTAATGATGATGCATTTAGCACATAGCTTTTCTTGGAATAAAAGCAGTCATGAATCTTCACAGAATATGATTACTAGCATTGCCTTCTGTTCAAGCTGTTCTTCCCTTATCAATGGCAACACCAAATCCATCGATTTGGAGCCTCTGAAATGCTGTTACTTTTAGTTTATGTTGTGACTGCATAGAGGATTTGATGTCTCCCTATTGCATGCACAGACTTTTTATTGCCCATCTGCTTAAGGGAATTGGACAAACAAAATAAGGAACATCTGTGCGCTCCTCGTCACTGACTACCTATTTGACTTCTGAGTATAATTTGAGGTGTTGATTCTGATTACTAAAGCTCAAAACAGTCTGCATTCTACTTGGCTAGGCAATTCTTCTTCCTGTGTTTCACTCTAGCAACTGGAAATAACTATCATGCCTCTTCAAACAGTTCTCATGATTAAAGATGAGACAATTTTGGAACCTCCACACTTTAGAATTGTTTACTTCTGAGTTTATCTTGTTTTCTCAGGACTTTAACAGGTAATTTCAAATCATTGTTATAAATAGAATTCCCTACTGTTTTATCTCACCATACTTTCCTTCTCAAAAGTTCCAGAAACCAGTATTCTCATCATGAATTAAAATGAACTATTTTGAACAAATTGGAGGAATTAATATATACCCCATAAGATAAATAAAAAGAGCCCTGAAGATAGTTGTTAGCTTGTTTGCTAACCAAAAAGTTGGCAGTTTGAAGCCACCATCCACTCTGTGGGAGAACAATGTGGCAGTTTGCTTCCTTAAAGACTGCAGTCTTGAAAATCCAGAGGAGCAGTTCCCCTCTATCCTATCAGTTACTAGGAGTCAGAATCAACTCAAAGGCAATGGGGTTTGGGTGTTTTTGTTTTTGTGTAAGGTAACTAAAGTTCTTATTATGGATATGGAAATGCAAAGATCTTACAACATTAAGAATGATATAAATCTCCTTAGAAGTAATTCTTAAAACTAGGATTCTGTAGTTTTGATGCCTCTAGAATAGCCAGAGTAGAATCAAATGAATTAGGTTCAAACAAGCAAAGGGCTAGCAATTCATCCACTCATTCCAGTCCCATCTAAATCAGTATGACTTGGGGGTTACCTGGTCTGAAACAGGAGGACATTATAGTATCCTACCTACTTTGGGCATTTATAGATTTCATTAGAAGAAATGGTTATGAAGCTGACAACAAAAAAAGAAAAAAACACTGTCTTATAAGAACTGTGCATTTTAGTTGAACACAAAAGCCCTTATTCTTTAATACCATAACCATTATGTTAGCATTTGAAAAAGTTGAAGAAAGAAGTTAGAG